GCATTCCTGTCTGTTAGCCAAGATTTCTTACATTTTCAATTCTGTAAAAAATAAAAAAATTAGTACTAAGTATAACTTTGTGCTGACCAAGCTAAATATAAGCATTCAATAACAGTCAAATGCTAGAGTGCTGGCCTAGAATCTGGCAACTGCCCAGGATCAGGATTTCAATTCCAAACAGATGGGCCATTTTGTTCTGGAAACCTTATAGAGGAAATACGTTCAGCATCTGTGGAAGGTAATTCTTGTCCTTGCCCTAATGGAGAATACTTGTCAAATGTGGGAGACCCAGGTTCAGCATCCTTCTATAAGCTCAAAGGTATACAAACTGACATCTCCCATCAGCTCCCAATATGATGTATTTTTAAGGTTTTTATTGTTTATTTTTGTGTATCCAATTATTCTTGAATGCGAAGATGCACAAGGAATCTTGGGGTCAGGGTATAAACCCCAGGTCAGCAAAGCAGCCTTTCTTCAAGTGTTTGAAAAAGCCAGGATGGGAGTGAAAAACTGTTGCCACATGTCTCCTTTCCTGTGTGTGTTTTCTGATTTCCCTCCTCCTAGGGAAACACCTTCATCAGTGAGCTACATAGTCAGAGTCTCTTTTACTTGCTCTCTCTCTCTAGCCCTGTGCCTCATTCATTTCTTTCTGCAGTTTCCAAGGTTGAATGCAAGGGATGGAGAGTGCCCCATCTAGAAAAACCTAAGACCTGTTGGCTGGGACACTCTCCTAAGAGGTAGGAGATGGGGGTTTGGAGGTCCCTCCCGCTGAGGAGGACACTGGACCCGAGTCTCCCACTCCCTGGGCATTCTAAACACTAGGCTGGGCACCACTGACCTTCAAAGAAAAGAGTACCCAAAGGAATCATTTAGGCACCTAAGCTGACACATCAGAATTCGAACTGCAAATCCCAGTCTCCAGTGCCTAACTCAGGACTGCAGTTAGCTGCCTAAATCTAGGACAGAGATGGGATTTCAGACACATTCCTCTTCAGCATTTCCTACTGGCTGGCCTATGAATCCCATTCTCAGGTACTGAACTCTCGCCATTTTCTGTATCGGGGACTTGGGTGCTTAACTTAGTTTTTTATTTCCACTCCTTGCTGGACCTCACCCTTTGTGCAAAACCCCAAAATTGATCCTTCCTAGCAGGGGTGGATCAAAGTGGGACACTGATGCAGTCAGTGCCACACACTGCGCAGTGAGCTTTTTGAAGTCACTGACTGATCAGTGCATGTCTTGCCAGAGCTCTGCATACAGTGAGCTCAGAAAGTTCCCTGCACTCCCAACTACTGACCCTGGACTGGCTCATGCTCTCTAGTATTCTTAATAATTATTACATACGTTATTTGATCAACCCTAATAAATATACTCTTAATATTTGTTTTTATCTAAGATACAAGATAAACTGTTAATAAACCTAATTTGTATATTACTATAGCCAATATAGTAAATAATCAGAAGGGTGTTAAAATACAGGAGACCCTTGCCATTCATGGGGGATACAAGAACGTATCCTCTGCAAACGGTGAAATCCACAAATAAGGCACTGTGTTCATGAACACCATCTGTGTTCATGAATGCACTGCCCCCAGCAGCTGGGGTGGGGCACAGCTGCACTGGCGATGGCAGGAGCATGGTGGTGGCAAGCACAGAGCTCCTGAGGAGCTCCTTTAAGTGTATTTAAGATGCAGCATTTGCGAATATTTGGAACCGTGAATGCCAAATGCACAAATAGCAAGGGTTTCCTGTATAGGGATTAATGTTTAGAAACTATGCTGTACTTACAGATCTACACAGATTAATCTTAATAGCTGCATTTATATGTAATGGGTATTTATATTTAGTAATTGTTTTCATAACTCCTAATTAAGCCTGATCTGTTTTATAACCTAATGCCTATAGTAGGTAGGCCCTAACTGTCCACTGTGTCCATATGTGACAGCTGATGGGATCTGGCTGCAGCTCCCTGACTCAGGGCTAACTAGTCCTGGTATAAGTTATAGCAGGAGAATAGTAGCATAAAGTTCCTATGCTAGTTGAGGATCAGACATAGCAGAAGCACACCATGCCCACATGCTCTGCATGCACAAAACCTGGAAAAGAGGCAGTGAAGCCCCCCTGAGGGCACCCCACACTGTTCCTGAGAGCTTTGTCTCTAGTGTATTTTAAAATGGAAGCTCCGCTGCCCCATTTCTGGGTTTAGTGCTGGAGACTGAATTGACCCAGACTGGCCCCATGAGCAGGGCCTGGGATGCATACTGCCTGTGGTGCCTGTTCTGGCCACTCTGGGAACCATGCCACATGCAGCACCCACCCTGGGCATTCACCACACATAACACCTGCTCCTGCAGATTTAAGACATGCTGCACATGGAACCCACTTTGCAGCTGAAATAGGCACTACTCTAGGTGGTCTGGAATCTGTGCTACATGTGGCACCTGTCCTGTCTGGACTTCACTACTCAAGCCACCTCCTCTGGGACCCATGGTACATGAGGCACGGATCTTGGAGGAGGCACTGGATCTGGCATGGAGGGGAGGGAAGGGAGAAAGGGCCCGGCATCTGGGGGCCCCTTTGCCTGATCCAGCCTGTGCTACCCCATGTTACTCATCCAGCCCATAGGGCCAGATGAGTCTGACATCCATGGTTTAGTGTATAAAGAATGGGAGCAGGTAGACACAGGGGTTCTTTGCTACTGCTGCCCTCTCAAGAGTACTTAGTGGACCCTTAGTTATCTGAACAATCTAGTCCTTTGGGCCTTATATCCCAGTCCTCTCTCAAACCCTGATTGAGGGCAGGAGCCTTTGTAGTACTTTGCAGGAATATTTTGTAGAAACTAGGCATGTCTACATGTGCATTTATGCTGGCTTAAATTTACTGCGTTGGAACAGGCCGGCATCTACACGTGCAGGCATTAAAGCGCATTAACACTGTATGTGGGCTGACTTGGGACTAAAGTTAGTTAACTTTAACTACACACACACACACACACATGCGCGCGCGCGCTATGTTACTGCCCAGTAAGGCGTTTACATGTGCGTTACTGTGCAGTAACTAATCAGGTGTAAATTTGATCCCTGCATGATACAGGGATCAAATTTATGCTCAAGTTGGCATAAGTTGCCATCTTTACTGTGCAGTATGAGTGTGCATGTGTAGACATGCACCCATACTGAACAGTAATTTTGGTTACGGTGCAGTAAATGCACACGTGTAGATGCACCCAGAGAGTGCTATTCTGTATTTTGTATAGTGGTATTCATAGGTCAAGATGTTTTCTGTTGTAAAATATATTTAAACAAGCTGTTGTGACTGTGATATAAAACATTTACTCAAGATTAATAACAATTTGAAAACATTAATCCTGGCCAATCATTAATCCTCCAAAATGCTTCTGCTGATGTTGGAAGATAAAAATAAAAAAGTGCATTTTTTTTCTTTTTATGAATAGTGAAGGTTTAACTGAGTTCCAAAAATCTTCAGAGAAATAATGATCTCTATATTATCAATTCAGATTGTTTGAATCATCTCCCATCATTTCAGTTAATAATACTGTAAAGACACTGCCATAAAGGTTAACCCCAACAAGAATGAAAGGAAACTGAAACCCCAGTTTGATACATTTGTAGCTGTGCTTGTCGGAGTCTCTCCACTGCCCAGACACATGGTATTTTCCAGTCAAGATCTTCTGACTTTGAGTCAGAACGCTGAAAAATCCAACCTTAAGAAACAAAAGGAGAGGTCAGAATTAACTATAGCAAGAGAGTAATCTTTTAAATGTTGGTCCAAGGCATTGCCAATACAATGTAAGGCTTGTTGATACAATTATGAAGTTTCAGTAGTTGTTTATTTTCTTAACCAGCTTCTTGTTAGTAGGAGAGAAAGTGCATTCCAAGCTCCTTTGGTTAAAAAACAAAGAACAAAGGCATCTATGGAGAGAGAATGCTTCAAAGGACTAGATAATTCAGATAAGTTCCAGGTTAGATGTTTATCTGAACTGCATCTGAACTTCAAACCTGCTGAAGTTTCAGCCACTATTCATTTGCCCTTCAGCCAGAGAGGCCCACTGTTGTTGCTGAGATGGGCTGGATGCAGCATACTACAGAGTCTTGATGCCAGAAAAAAAATCACTGGAGAATTGGGCCACATCTTCAACATTGACTCATTGGAGTGTTGCTGGTATAAGCAGTATGGTGCTGTGTCTTAACACTAGCTTTCCTTTTCTGGGTCCATTCCATTTGGTGAATGCACTGCCCTCTGAGTACCTTTCACACAGTTCCTAGTACATCTCCAAGGAGTATTTGGTTTCAAAAGCTTTGTGGGAGCCCAAGGGATTGTGAAAGAACAAATCCAACTCCCACAATTCCCTGAAATGATCAGTCATTTTCATAGCATTTTCTCAAAATAAGGCAGAGGAATAGTTAAGGTTTGATCATTATTTCCACTGGCATGCCCATAAAATGATTCTGAGACACTTCAAAAGATCCAGAAGAGGTGAAAGAGAGTATGCAACTACACACAGCCAGATAAGCAAAACAGTAATTAATGGTATTCAAGCTATAAAGCTCAGTGTACTACACTCTTGAAATACCTGACTTATGCACACCTTCAAGACAAAGTCAGGCAGATGGCAGGAGACTTTTGGGTCAGGTCAACTGTAACAGAATGGGGGGCCAAGTAGTTCTTGCTTATCCCTTACCCATAAAAGGAGGGAAGCTTGCAGTACTAAACTAGGACAAATGGGACCACCATGCAACACAGAACAGGAAAAAGATTTTTCTGATGAGAGCTGGCTACCCCAGACAGTCCCTGGGCACACACTTGCTGTTGGGAAATCCATAGTAAGTGATGTTATGGTATAAATGTGCAGAACAAAACCTTGAGTGTTGAAGGAATGTGTGATCAAAGTGGAAAATGATCCTGAAATCACTGAGAAATTTGAACAGTTAGGCTGTCCAGCTCTGCAGGAGCTAGAACAGTAAGTCTTAACCAGGGTGAAACCTGTTCATGGTCAAACTAGACTTGATGTTGCATCAGGGCTGTTCTCTTATGCCTACATACCCAGGCAAAGTAAGTGATGCCAGAAAATCAAATAAGTCTAAAGTTTTTCAAAACAAGATTGAAGAATACAATCTTCTCACACCACAACATACATAGTCATAGAGGCTCTCACTGTACTGCTTCTTGGCTTCCAGAGGTTGTATTTGCTGCCTCTGCAGCACTTTCACCTGTTGTCTGTCCAAGAATTTAAGCTCTATACTCTGATCACATGTAGAATATGGGCAATAAGCCACCTGACCAACTCCAAGGAAGATGGGAAGAAGAGTTGTATAAAATATTATATTTTTTAAAGAAATGCAATCAATAACCTTATGTTAAACACTAGGGGTGTTTTTACACATGCTTCAGGGTTGGGGGGGAGCACTTTAATTAGAGAGGCTCTGAGAGCCATTCTAATTAAAGCACCTGCAGTGTCTCATGTATCAGCATCCCTACACTTCAAAATGGCAGTGGGGGTGCTTTAACTAAATCTCATTGAACAAGGTTTAGTTAAAATGCCTCCAGTGCCATTTTGAAGTGCAGGGATGCTGATACAGGAGAGACAGAGGCTGATGGAGCATGCTAATTAGCACACTTGAGCAGACTTGGTTAATCAAGTTTGCTTCAATGCACTGTAATTTCAGCAAGTCATAGTGGTGTCCCCACACATCTACAAGCACCCTAAGTGCACTTTATATCATCTTATTAGACCACATAATCTATAAACTGTTAAGTTTAATACCATGTGATAGGCACTGCAACCCAGTGCATAACTGTCCTCTTTAAAGGCAAAAGATAGGTAACAGGGTAAGGGGCCTAAACAGTTTCTAGCAGGCATGGGCTTAAAATCTTATCTTAAAACAGTGATTTTGTCCTGTATTCCTCAGATAGGTCTGAAGGTATTCCTCAGAGGACAGCTGATGAACCTTACTGGCAGAAAGCAGATTGTGAGGAGGTAGGTATATAAACACACAGCTATGGAGAGAATAGACCTAGGGGGCTTGTGGTCTCTCTGGCTGAAGCAGACATTGAAATTCTGTTCCATTTTTAGGTTAAAAGAGACAGATTTCTCTCTTGATATTTTGTTTTATAACCAACCTCACTCATATAGTTGCCTTAACTTAAGCATAAGGGAATACCATGCCTGTCTTACCCATTGGTATTAGTTTGTCACAGACACCTAGTACCAAACATATAGAAGGGGCATCGTTTTTTCTAAAACAAAAGAAAGAAATCTGTTGGCTTTGAGACTGTTAACATCTTACCTCTTTCCTCACAGTGTTTGGATGATAGTGAGAAACTGATTGTGATAGGTAACTGGGTAGCATGTTGTGCAACAGGAGCTAAAGAGAAGGAAAAAAAGCATCAAAGGGCATATAAATATGCTGAATTATGTGAACACATAAAAACATACAGTTTTTCTAAAACAAATTCTCTCTGTTAAGGAGAAGCCTGAAGTTGCTTACAAATTGCTGAACAAGACTTGTCTAAGACCAGCAGCTCTCTGGTGATTATTACAGCATTGGTGTTTGTTGTGTAATATGCTTTGGATACAGATGATCCTTTTGGCTCCAGATAGTTATTCCTTCACTCACCTTGAAATAGAAATCTGAACATGCTTTGAAAATGCTTTGAAATGTTGCCCAGTTTCACTGTAGTTTTCCCAAGTGTTGGTACCTCTCACTCCAGCTGCAAGGCTATTTCATAATGCTCTAAAACAATACTTCGCAATGAATCACAACAGATACCTACTCAGCCTGTAGTCTAGCCAAGATAATTTTTTTTCTACCTGTGCTCTAGTTTGGCTGTATTTTCATACCTACGTATTAGAATAGAACACTTTTGTACAGTGTACTTACCTTTGTTTCCTAGAGTCCTACTTGATGCAGTTTCCAGATTTCTTTTTTCCTTTGCACCATGTAAAACGCCACTCTTATGCTGATGAACTTTTGCATTTTCAGCAGTTTCATAGCTTATGCATTCAGACCTAGGAACCATCTTATCATATTCATCCAATGCTTGGCCTCTCCCCAGGCTTTGGCTTTGGCATGTTAGTGACTTCCGGCACCATTTGCTGTAATCAGCACCTTCAGAGAGCTCTCTCCAGCTATAGTTCAGGACATTTATAAGTCCCTGAGGGAAAATTATTTCATAACTAGTAAAGAAATGCAAAATTTCTGCAAGTTCCTGTAACATGGTGAGAACTGTGTATCTGTATTCATCCAACTGGCTCAGCTGTGGATCTTCATCTTCTGGAAGAGTTGAAGGCATCTGAGAAATCTTTGAGTTGGGATCCTTGCTCTTGGTATTGAATAGGGAATAGGCAGATGTTTGACACACAACTGGATGTTTCACTCTTCTTTCAGTATCATCTTTTAAAAATAAATCTTCATTTCTTTCCATATAGTCTTCTCTACAATCAGTCTTCTTGCATTTGACCAAGCTGGGAAAAAAAGATGTTTCTTTAAGTAACAATGATTTATTGTAATCAGGAAAAGAGAGCATATACAGTAGAAAGATGTCTAAATCATGGACAGCATCCCCAGCCACAACCTCAGCAGGCTGGCCAATAATTGAAAGGAAATGGACACTTAGCATCTTTCTCTCTTCTAGAGGTGATACTTGCAGATCCAGCTTAAGACACATTGCCAGGGTGATATGCTGAAGCTTTATCCTGTGATTGCTGTACCTGTGTATCTTTATACTGACTTCATATACTTTGGATCAGGTCTTAAATTCACCTTAAATAATTATGCCATTCAACATTAAGAGCAATACTACTTTAATTTTTCATGTGCTGACTGATCATATAGACAATTTCCCTTCTCATAAGTAAAATTAATATCAAATACATTCAAAGCTTTCATAGATTTCATAGACATTAGGGGCTGGAAGGGGCCTCATGAGATCATCAAGTCCAGCCCCCTGCCATAGGCAGGCAGTCAGCTGGAATCAAGTGACCCCAGCAGGTAAATAAATCCACCTGTTTTTTGAAAGAGTCCAAAGTAGGTGCCTGCGCCACCTCTGGGAGGAGTTTGTTCCAGACCCTGGACACTCTCACCGTAAACAACTTTTTTCTTATGTCTAGTCTAAATCAGCCTTCCTGGAGTTTATGGCCGTTAGACCTTTGTAACAGGGGGCTTTCTTGGGGCCTGTCCACCATTGGCCTGCCAACTTGTTTCTGGGTTAACTGCCTGGCTCACTCGTCTGCCACGCCTCATTGTCTCATAATTGGTTCTTATTGGGCAGGAGGCTGCCCATTCTTGCCCTGATGCTCAGGGGTACTCTCTGCTGCTCTGATTCTCCCCTACACCACAGCCCAAGTCTTGCAAATGGCATCCATGTGACATAAATACTCCTGGTGTACAGCTGGACCAAGCTTAGCCCTTGTTGTCAGGCCTCATACACACACATGTTCATACCACCCTCCTCTCACTAGGGCCTCTCATGCTCCACCCCCTCTCACAGGGTCTCTTTCATGCATCGACCACTTATACCACCTTGCTCCCTCCTGAAGTGGGCCCCTTCAGTCATAGGCTTTATCTAGCGCACACCTTGGGTGGCAAATGTACCATCTTTTGGGCCTCTCCCGGAACCCTCACCAGGGTAGTGGCCAGCCAGTTACTTGACTGGGACCAAGCTTGCCCTGGCCCTTCCTGTGGCAACTCTACACAAACTCTCATGTACACATTGGGCTCCTAGCCCTCTGGTTTTCCCTTCACTGGGGCTCCACATCTCTACCCCCTCACTGGGGCTATGGGGCTTCCCTCCTTGGTGAGGGCTCAGATGGCCATAGTCATTCCTGGCCCCAACTACTACCCACAGTGATGTGGGGGCTAGAGGTTATTGAGGTGCCCCAACCTGCCTTCCACTGGGGTGGTAACTGGTCTGGTATTTTCCTGGAGGCTCCTGAGCCTCCAGTTGTTCTCATACAGCAGCTCAGCCAGGCATCGTTTCTGCCTGCCTGCCAGCAACAATCTACTCTGTTTATATAGGCAACCAGTGTCTCAAAATGGCTGTCACAATCAAGCACCTGCTGGCTGTTTGGCTCAGCCCTTAAAGTGGCAGGCACCAACGGTGCCCTGGCACAACCTGCCACAACCTTGTTATCCCTTGGGGAGCTCTGGTGAACAGCTGTTCTCCCAGGTCCTGATGCACCCCTCTTATATAATTGTAGGTTGCCACCAAGTCTCCCTTGAGTCTTCTCTTTTCCAGACTGAAGAGTTCCAAGTCCCTCAGCCTCTCCTCTTATGGCCTTCTCTCCAGGCCTTGGATCATATGAGTGGCTCTCCTCTGGACTCTCTCAAGCTTCTCCACATCCTTCCTGAAGTGGAGGGCCCAATACTGGATGCAGCAGTCCAGCTGCAGTCTCACCAGGGCCAAGTAAAGTGGGAGGATGACTTCCCTGGTTTTGCTTGAGATGTATTGGTAGATGCATGCCAGAGTTTGGTTTGCTTTGCCAGCCACAGCATTGCATTGGTGGCTCATATTCATCTTGTAGTCAGTCAAGACCCCCAAGTCCCTTTCAGTTGTGGTGCTAGCGAGCATAGCACTGCGGAGCCTGTAAGTGTGCTGAGGGTTCTTCCTACTGAAGTGCAGTACCTTACATTTCTCTATTTTGAAGGCCATCAGGTTTTGGTTCAAAGTTAATTGGCCTGTATCCCCAGCCTGTCCTGCGGTGTGACCGCCCTCCCCCATAATTTGATATCATCCACAAACTTGGCCAGTTCACATCTGACTCCTGAATCCAGATCATTAATGAGGCTTTGCCTTATAAGGGTAACTTTCTTTAAAAAATTAGGCTTTCTAAGGCCATTCATAGAATCATAGTAAATTAGGGTTTGAAGGGACCTTATGAGGTAATATATCTAGTTCAACCCTCAGCAGGACCATCCTCAACTATCTCATCCCACCCAAAGCTTTGTTTATCTGGGTCTTAAAAACCTCCAAGGATGTCCCTAACACACTGATTACTGTATTTTCATGCATATATCCCGCGGGGTATATGCTATTTTACAAAAAAATGGATGGGTGCTGGCTATACAGGGGTGGGGGCAATCGATGGACTTTTTTTCTGCGGGGGCCAGGGCCGGGGCACCTCGACGCTGGGCGCGGGCAGGCCAGGCTGCGCCGCCTCCCCACTGGGCCTGGACAAGCCGGGCTGTGCCACCACTGCTGCTGCCGCAGCCATGGGGGCC